TGTGTGTGTGTGTGGCCCCCTTCTGTTTACCCTTTCTTCTTCTGAGTGAGTTTGGCTGTGGGTCAAGTTTCCTTAGACCATTTTCTCATGTTGACCGCCCAGCTATGCTACTTCTCTTGCTTCTTTTCTTTTTGCCGCAGATGATATTTGGCAGGACACATTGCGCTGCCAGATGGGGATGTGGTTGCTGCATATGGGTTTCCACATAGATGGAACCAGATGAGCTTTGCTGTGCGCTAGCTAGTGGAAAAGGGTAGCGTACGTTTGTTCAACTTCGTTGTCATCCCAACAGCATTGTGATATGATGCTGCATGCAAATTAGTTGAAATTCAAAAAGTAGAACAAGAGAGTTCCTTGTTGCTCACTCCTTGCGGAAGGGTCAGCTAGGGCAGTCAAGCAGGGGTAACATCTACGTGCTTCTGCCGTTTCTCTCTGTGCCCCATCTTTCCTTCATTTATGGCTTTTGTAAGCGAAAGCCACACTGCTATTCCATCTCATCTCAATTTTTTTTTGTTATCCATTTGTTGACTCAGAAAATAATGTTGATCTTTGACCAGGTACGGACCTTCTTTTCGTCTCGACGTTGAAAAACAGACCTGAGTTCGAATCCTGATGGAATTAGATGAATTTAGAGCTGGGTTCACACAAGCCACAGAGTGGTTCCCGAGTGCGTGTAACCTGCCGCCCGCATTCCAGTTACTACACTGCGGAGTGGTGGTCCCCCACCATATGGTTGTGGAACTTCCCAATGGTGGATGGAAGTCAGCCACAAGACAAGATGGGGAAACGGTGTACCAGCGTTGAATACGGTCATGATGTATCGGTAACCTATGGATGGATCAACAAGCGAAGTGGTGGTCCCCACCATATGGTGTGGAACTTTACCCATGCTGGTCAGTGGACTGATCAGTAGCAGGCGTTCTGGCGTGACACTCCCACGTGAGACGTCTCTGCCAGCCAGTGTTGGGAAAGACCGCTGACAGAAACTGCTATAAAAGCCATCCGTGTCTAATGTCGGCACCGGGATCGGGATAGCCAGTAGCCGTTAGGATCTAAAAAGGTAAACTTAATGCTGCCCTGTTGTCTGTTCCAGCTGGCAGAAAAATCGCTCTGTCAGAAGACTGAGTTGTCATGCGGCTGCGGCCGCCGTCAAACGGTGGATCACGTGCCGGATTTGGTCCTATGGCCTTGTTGTCATCCCTCCTTTTTATCCATTTCAACCCTGCATCCAAGGTGCAGGCTGGG